AACCACCAGTACTCTTCCTAAAGCCGTGCCCATTAACAAGCCACGATTTTTAGGAAACGTACGGGCCACCACAGGAGAGCGCCCAAATTCATCCGACTAGAAACGTTGCTACTCTATTTTTTTCCGCGGCCGATACCTGGGCCTTCAGACTATATCATCATAAGGAGGGATGTCTGGCGTGTACTCGTTGAGGGGCGCAGTGCATGTATCAACACCATGCATGCAAGCAGATGCCGTGCAGGAAATTCCACACGTTTGGCACACGAGCGGACCCGCAAGGTGCGACGCACGACATGTGAGGCGCACGGGGGAAATATTCACTCAAAAAAAAAAAAGGGGTCGAATGGCTGGGTCAATCGTCACCTGCATCCCCTTTAAAGATTCTTTAAAGAGGGGTCGAATGGCTGGGTCAATCGTCACGTTTTGCACTCTTCTGTATCTACAAAAACAGCAAAAAAAAACACAAAAAGGGAAACTGCTGTTGGTACGGCGCATGAGAAGGTGCCGCACCGCACGCCATGCGGCGCACCGGACAGTACGGCCCACAGTGCGGTTGCAAGAGTGATCAACACATGTATAACTTCGTGTTGATTGTCCGCACCGACACGTTTTTTTTTCAACAAGGGCAAAAGTTCCAGGAAACTTCACAAACACAGTCGGCGCAGCAGGTCAATTTCGGAGGGAGCCACGGTTTTCCACTTGTCATGATTAGTTGACAACTTGATATCCATTGGTAAAAGGGCGACACGAGTGCTATAAAGCAGACAGCTGTTGTACCCATGAGTAAGAGTACCAAGTCCACCACTCCCGTGCATCATGTGTGCACTTGCTGATTGGCGTTTTCTAACCGTCATTCCATCTGATCGGAAATTACTAATTAGTATATGGTTGGCGACTAGTCAACCATTCGGTCATTGTTCATGGGCTGTCAGGCGGGAGATGTTCAGTCTTTGACGAGGCTAACCAGGATGAGTTCTCATTTGTTTACGTTTTTCACCCACAGAACCTGACCCTGAAAACTACTGACGACAGGTCGGGTTTGTGGGAATTTTTGGGGTGTAGCATGCAGACTCGTGACTCATTTCCTTTTCTAGGGTTCTGTTCGGAAGGTGGAAAACGAAGAAAGTATTTGAGATTCTGGCCAATTGACGGTTCAGACCGGGCAACCCTTTGGGTCCTGGAACAGTTAATGCAGAAGGTGTCTGCAATCACCGGCACACTGCATCCCATGGTGTTGCATACTGTAACGTGCAGACCAGAACAAGAGCCGACCTTTCAATACAAAGTACAAGATAACACAGCGGAAGACTTAGATACCAGTGATCCGAACAATCAATGTTGCAATGCAGCCCTGAACATCCATCATCATCATCGTTACATGGTGTGAAATGGGCCTGGCGCTTCACACAGGAAGACTGCGCCAGCCCATACCATACACAGACGAAGAGGAAGGGGAAAGATGAAGAGGAGGGGGAAGATGGGAATGTCGTCAACACCAAGTCTTCGGCACAAGCCCAAATAGTCCCTCGTCGAAATGTCTGAATCCCAAATGTCAAGTCTGGATCCAATGTCGTCAAGTCTCAAGTCACAACTCTGTCTCTCTCTGTCGTAGTCTGAGAAGTCAGGTGGCGAGAGGGTGAGAAGAGAAGGTGGACTTAGAAGAGGAAGAAGAAGA